ATATATATATATATTATATAGATACATAAATATGATAAAATTAATTAGAAAACAGTAACATTATATACTTGTTAACTTATATTAATAGTATTTAAAAATACTTTGATTTTTACTCATTTTTGCTTCAAATGATATTTTATATCATGCAAAGCACGTTTTTTCATCTTCATATATTTAATATTAGTATAATTTAAAAGTAAACCGTATATATATGGTTAGAGTTAAATTAAATACCAATTTTTCTTACTTTATTCCTCTACTGAATTTTCTAGAAGCTTATTTATATTGCTTATTTATTTATTATTTATATTACGACTTCTTGATCTACACTGCTGCTTATCGGTAAAAATCATAAAACAAAAAAAAAAATGTATATACTAAAAAAAAAATGTATATACTAAAAAAAAAATAGAAAAATATTAATGGAAAATTTTTTTTTACATTCACTTGTGTATCTATTTACAAAGCGTTAGTAGGTAATATACAAATAACATCGGACGAACAGAACAGGAATGTGCCAAAGTGGGTCTTAAAATCAACACCGCTAAAACCAAATCCATACGACGGATGAATGATTACATGCCAATAATTACCATCAGCAACAGTGTGAAAGATATCAAATAGTTGAAATGTCTTAGAAGTATAGTAGCGTTAATATTCAACTTCGTTAAATTAGATATGTAATTGCCCATTTAGGGAATATTTGAAAGAAAGCAATGAATTTGCTCCATAAAAACGAAACTAAAATCAAAATTGCCCCAATTATAATTAAATTGCAAACATTTTTATTAACACATACTCGCGACAGATCAGAATATCAAAAATCAAGACTTATAGGCGATTCCAAGAACGGCCTGGTCTACGTCCCGGAATCAAGACGACCAAGTGCCATTCCAAAAAAACTACGCAGAAATTTATGACCAATAAATGCATGGTTAGTTGAGTGATAGTTCATAGGAAGTTGTAAACAAAGTATAATGAAAACCATAAGTAGAAAGGAAACGGGGTCCAACCTGGAACGAAGATTGGTAGCTAAGCAGAAGATTACACAGCTAAGTAGTGAAAATTTAAACGGAACTAATAACTATGTTCTTACAGTACTTATCACCCGTTTATAGTATTAAATTGTTGTTAAAATAATTATGTCACAAAACAAATCCAATGAACATAATTAGTTGCTTTTATATTAAAATTTTGTTGAAGTTATATTAATTAATAAATATTCACTTATTTGTTTCAGTGTATTAAACCTGACACACACACACGCAAACGTGTATATCTTTTAGGTAACCAAGTATTGACGCATATACATTAATAACTGAACACTCTTTGTGAAAATTCTTATTATTCACTGACCGTTTGCCTCGAGCAGAAATATTTTCTACACCATTCCAAACATAAACAATCCAAAGCTTTGCCAGAGTTTTATATAACAGGTTAGGTTGGAGTGGCGCCCTTGATTACCAAGAAAGCCCACTTCAGCACAAATAATGGCCCGGTGTGGTATGAAAAAAAAAAAAAAAAAAAAAAAGAAAACCTTTTACTCACAATAACGAGACTCAGTATTTTCTTTTTGAACTATAAAACTATAAACATTTTTAACAAACTACTCGCCTACAATAACCAAGTCTAGGTCATTATTTTCGCTGGAATTTCGAAAGAACGTTGTCTTTGAGCTATAAAAACTACAACAACTCTAATACGAATAGTGTAGAATCATCATATTTTCTTTTAGAAAGCAAGAAATGTAATCCTATAAATCAGATTATATGATCTATATCTCAACAACACAACACTTTTTTAAGTTGAAACATTTAATTTGGCTTCCGACTGAAATAAAAAAAAAAAATAAATTTTGCTAAAAATTAAACTGAAGAAATTTAAAAAAATTTTATGTAAGGTTAAAAAAAATTTGGCACTACGAAATCCACTCATTTTTTCCATTGTTTTATTAATATTTCCATATAAAAATAAACAGAAATATTAAATACTTGTATTTTCAAATAAGAATTGAGACATGAAATTCGAATGATGGCACATCGAATTGAACTAATAGCTGAACATTGAAGAAAGGGAACACTCAAATATTAACGTATATGGAAGAAACCAATAAGATTGTATAGCTACAAAGAAAATAATATTCTGTCGTTTGCTTTCTATAACATATTTTAATTGTCAGAAATGTACTCCATATCAATCACTTTATTTCAGGCACTAATAACCTATTATGTTCAAGTTTCATCAAACACGCAATTTTACTGATAGCATATACTAATATCAGATAACGGACAGATACAGGATTAAGATATTGAAGGAATTGAAAAAGTGAACCGAAATCGGTTTCCATGCTGAACCAACCATATTCGTATCATAACACTACCACTAGATATCAAGAAAGACCCTCTAATTTAAAGCGATATTGGAATAAATAAGGATAAACACCAGAAGACACACCGTTAACAAAACATATCATTCATCGAAATCAGTTTGCATGCTACTGTACACATACTATATATACCAACAGCAGATAAAAAAAACCGCCAAATGCATAGACAAAATTATGTCACAAAAACAGTTGAGATGACATAAAAATTAAAAAACATTTCAAGAATTATATATAATACATATATGACCCGGATATGATATGCACATAAACAATATTCTATTCAGAACCTATTCTTACTCCTTAACACAAGTGAAATGAATGATTAACTTGCAAAAATAGTGACAGAAAAGCACATATAGAAAATATTTTTATAATAAATATAAAAAAAAATATTGCAAATGTATTGAATACAATAAATAATAATGCGCGATAGTAGATTTTGCTTTCTCTCTTTCCATCAGTTATCAACAATTATAACTAAACTCATCATCTGCGCATGAGGAACTATTGCTTACTAGTACGTTATTTACTTCTGTTGTCGCCAACACTTCAGCCTGCTGTTGCTGGTGTTGATATTGTTGTTGTATTTGCAATTGTTGCATAGCTTGTTGTTGCAATTGCTGCTGAAAGTAATTTGAGTTTATGGAACTCCCAACACAATGCTCCAACTGTTGTTGCGTGGGTTGGTGGTCTGCATTATCATCATCAATATCATCAACTTTATCTAAATCAACAACTTCTTCAGATTCAATACTACTGCGCCGACGCCCTATATTTTTAACAGATTTTGTTGAAGTTGGTGATGTATTATTAGCCACTGGTATTCCTATTCCTATTCCTGTTCCTGTTATTTTTCCTAAAGGTTTTATGTTTAACTTAGCGGCATTAGCTACCGCTGCACTTACGGCATCGTGTAATTGCAATTGTTGTTGTAAAATACTAGTGGTAGCTGTGTGGTGGGCTTGCATTAGTCGGTGTTGGGACGGGGACCGACGAAATAGTGAACGCATCGCTATTTCTGGATGCTTTTTGCGCACATGTTGCCGCAAATGATCAGCTCGTTTTGTCCTATGACCACAAACGGAACATACCATACTTTTTCCTTTGCCACACTCTTGGCGCAAATGACGACGCAAGGTACCATGCCGTCGATATGTTCGAAAGCATTGAGGACATGTATATTGCTCTTCGCCAAGCATACAATTATCGAAACTAAGTTGCTGATGTAGATGGTGACGATGATGATGATTCATTGTGGAAGTGGTCGTGCTGGTATGATTGGAGTTTGTGTAATCAATTGTTGTGCTTGGAGTAGTGACTAAATTGGTTATGGCCATATTGCTGTTGGTAGCTGTAATTGCAGAGGTGTTTGGGCAAGAGGACATTGTGTTGTCGTTTGCAATGAAAATATTGGAAGAGATTGGTAGATAGCCTGAAATTTGTTTTTGGTATATTTTAATTTGTTTGATTTTTTACTTTAGATCTTAAAAGGACTTAATTTTGTTTTGTATACGGAATTAAACATTTTATTTTTCATTTAATCACATAAAAGAAAACAAAGGAAATGTATTCTAATTTTTTTTTCTTATGTAAAAATTAGCAAAAGAAAATGTAGTGTATGTGTAAAGTATATATTTTTTTTTAATTTTTTAGATATGTTTGTAGTTTAGTGATGAGTGCTTGCTTGCTTGCGTTTTTGAGGACATGCCAAATTATTTGCAAATAAAGTTCATTCAAATATGCATTAAAATATTTTTGGTTATTCTTTGTTACTCTGATTTTGTTAGATTTTTGATATTTAAAGATATTTTTTAATAGTTAAAATTTATTATTATTATTTTTGATATTTCATAAATAATTACGTCTTGTTAATAATTTGTAAATTTTGTTGTAAAATAAAAAAACAAACAAATCTTAAACAGGCAAAAACAAATGCAAATATAAAATAAATTTAATTATTTTCTTGTCTTCTGCAAACATCGGTATGATTTGGTATATTCGGGACTTATATTCGAGCTTAATAAATTAGCACAAAAATTTCAATATGCAAACAAATTTTTAATTTTTGTTCATTTTGCGGTAACATGTGCGCAAAGAATCTCGACATCTTTCTCCCAAAAACAAAAAAAAAAATTATTCAAAATTCCGTGTTACTGTAGTTTGTAGTTATATTCATTCTTAAGATATCACTAACTCATATGATGGCCCTAAACTATTTAACCATAAAATATATATATATTGTTCTTCAAATTTGTACAATACTTTTGTTCATTTAAAATAATTAATAAATAATAATGTTCTAAATATTATGAAGACGACTACATAAAACATAAATTCCGCTGACCTTACATACGAACATAATATACTTCAAATCGTAATGATAATTATAGTTGCCAACTCTTTCAGCAAGTAAATATAAAAATTACGGAATATAAAAGAACACAGATACAACGAGACACTTATATGCAATACAACATATCGCTGGGAAATTGACATTATTTGACATACAACAAACTCCAGGTTTAATAAATACCCGATATAACATTACAAACAAATCAGTAAATTTCTCTCTAAATAACAAATATTGCATATGAAATGCATTCGAAATAATAAAAGGCGTTTCTTAATACCGAGAGGCCACTGTACACAATTTTAGACGTTGTCGAACAAGAGTTAAATTCTAAATCTAAACAATAAAAAAAATCTAATGCTCAAACACCAATATAACTAGTAAAAAAAAAAAAAAAATTTCATAGCTACTACTGTGTTGTTCTATTATTATTTCTAGAGATTTTAGTATGCAAATGCGAGATATATAAATATTTACTTTTAAATGTGAAAATTCCGATATGATTTTGATTAAAGCCTTAATACCGTGCCAAACGAAAAGTTGTGGTAAGTTATATGTCAACAAATTTTGATATACAAAACAACATCGTTGCTGTTGCAAATTTGTTTTATTTTTGTACACAGTTTTTGTATTTCCATTGTTGTTCTCTGTTCTCTTATGTTCAACTAAAAACATTTCAGTTAAAAGAAAATGAAGAATAATAAGAAACGAATAAACGCAGCAAATCAATACTTATATTGGTTAAAGAATAAATTTCCTACAGAAAACTTCTATATAAAATTATCGTATTTTTGATTTCGTATCACTGAATATTACTTCTATTTGGTATTACTAAATATTAATTACATTTATTTCTTTATTTATCTTTATTTAAGTTTTGTTGAAGAGAGAAGCAATGCTGGGTGACATTGCAACATAATCCGATACAAACTATTAATTAAATGGGCTACACTTTTATTATTAATGCGGATATTTAAATTAAAACCAAAGTTAGGTTTTGCAAAACATCCATTAGAACGTTAACTTCATTATATAAAATACTAATGCAATATAAATTAATAAAATAAATGTTCTTATATGCACATTATTATTTATATGTACACATATATAAATCATTATTCAAGTATCATACTTGTGGAAATATTTATTGTATATTTTATGTCTATACATATTATTATATATATTTTATTATACATATTTTATTATATTGTATATATATTATTTTATTATACCTATATTGTATTATTATATTGTATATATATTATTTTATTATACCTATATTGTATTATTGTATTGTATATATATTATTTTATTATACCTATATTGTATTATTATATTGTATATATATTATTTTATTATACCTATATTGTATTATTATTTATAATATAATAATTTATTATACCTATATTGTATTATTATTTGTATATATAATATTTATTATACTATATTGTATATATATTGTGTATATATTATTTAATATACCTATATTGTATATTATATTGTAAATATATTATTATATTATATTAATTCATATATATTATCTTATATATATGTATATATATATAAACATACATTATATAAAATATACATTATTTTATATTTATTATAATTATTTATTTATTTGTAAGTTAACATTAAAATTAATTTTAAAGTTAGCTAAGAATATAAGAAACTAGACTACTGGGTCCTTCGTCCTGAACATATATTATATATACATACAATAATTATTATTTTACATACCAACACTAATATATTATTGCTATTAATTATAGCTTATTGTATTAAAAATATTACTAAACACGTGATATATATAATACATCCCATTGTGCTAAGTTTGTCAAATTTTTTTTATTTGACGAAAATGTTTAAATGAAGAAAATATTAAACGAACAATAAATATTCTTATTCATTATTTCTATATTAAATGAAATACGGTGGTGTCCGGTTCCATTCTTTCTATTACTGAATAAATCAAGCTTTCGTTTACTTATTTAATAATTATAACTATGTATATTTTATTATTAAAATATGTATATATTTGCACACACAAAAGTTTAAACAAAGAAATACAATATTATTTTTCTATCGTTATTTAAAAAAAAAAAAAAAAAAAAATTAAATGTATTTTGTATTTTTGTATATGTATTTTTGATTCTATCAATAGAATTTTTAAGCTTCTTCCTCCTGTAAAATCGAGATTTTAATAGAAGGAATATTATTTTCTTCGGTTCATTATATAGAAGCATTGCATTAACTGTTTCAGAAATTTAGTTGTTATTTTAAAAACAAATATTCGTTTTTTTCCTGCAGTATTCGTCAAGTTTTGAAATACATAATTCTTTATATGGAATATAATTAGTCGTCCTTTAAACTGGACATTCCTTTAATTGGTAATAGTTATAGTTGAGTGTCTGTACTATTTTCAAAATTCGTATGGCTTTGTAAAGCTAATGGAAAATGGATAGTTTAGTGTAGTTGTAAATATTCTTGAAAACATAAGAAGTGTATTATTATATATTGTACTTATAGATTTATTTTTTATATTAACGTATTATTATGTTCGTAATAAACAATTTATAAAAATGATTATATTTCGTTTGCAAATAAAAAATTAAAATTTTGAAGGAGCGTTTTTCTTCATTCTTGGAAGACTGATATACAATTTCATTGGTTTGGAAAAAGGGACATCAACTAACACCAAAATGGATTGCAGTTTCACATATTCCAATTTGGCACGTGACAATAGGGATATTCACTCTCTATTGCAAACTCTTTGCAAGTTGCACGAAATGCACAGATTTTACGAGAATGCACACAGTTCCGTGCAATTGCTTGCAATCTTCGTATACTAAAACCTATGTATATTTACTTGCAACAAAGCAAAAATGGCAGAAAACAGTTAATTTGACATTTGTTGCTTCTCATTTTTTAAAATTTTTCTGATTATTTTCAGATAAAAATGGAATACAGAGCACTAGCAACTAAAAGGAATAGGTTGCATCCGCACAAGAAGTGTAGGGAGCGGAAAGTGCTCCAAATAATAGAATTTCTGCAGGAGGAAGCAGAATAAAACCTTCACTCAGAATATTAAAAGCACTATTTTCAATTAAAATATTTATACATTTTTGTATTTCACTTATTCGTGGTATTGTTATACTTTTATTTTTCTTTGCTCAATGATCCATTTTGATGATGCAATTCTGCAACAGATGTGTTCTCGAGTCTTGCAGTTTTTGTATAGCATTCTTACATTTCATGCTCCTTGCAAGAGAGTGTGAATACCCCTCCCTAATATTTTTATTCGAGTTATGGGGAAATTCGAATTACAGAAGTTCAAATTATGGAAGCAGAATTATATGTAATTTGTTCTATAAAACCCTGTTGCACTCTTTTTAGTCCGAGTTATAGAAAATTCGAATTATAGAAGATAAAGTTATGGAAGTTTGACTGTATATATATTTATTTCTTTATATATATTTATATACATATAAATAATATTTATTTACATATATATATTTATTAATATTATATGTATTTATTTATATATATATATATATTTATTTATATATATATTTATATATATTTATATATTTATTTATATTTATATATTTATTTAAATTTATATATATTTATTTATATTTTTATATTATATAATATTACACATTATTTTTTTTATATCTACATGTATTTATGTATCTATATATTTATATTAATATATTTACATTAATATATTTATATATTTATATTTACATTAATATATTTATATTTATACATGTTCATAATATGCACTGATGCGGATTCGCGAACCAGTAATCGATTAAGTATATAATGCAGACTATTTGTCCGTATTATGAGAGAATCCGAAATGCAAGATATTTAGACTATCGGAGATCTGCCTTAAAAGTTATATAAATTATATTTGTGCATATAATCATTTGTTGAAGTTACTTTCTGGATATTATTATATATATAGATATATGTGATAATTTATATTATATAATTTGTTATAATTATAAGTATTTCAAATATACCAGTCAACCAACATATGTTAAATTTGCTTATAAATGCATCACTAAAAACAT